TATCACATGCATACAATCAGGGTGTCTTTAGTACCCAGGATCAGCCGCCTAGCTTCATTCTGTATGCGCTCCAGTTTCTCTAGCTGACTCTTCGAGACAGTGAGTAACCCCGATCCATAATTAATTACTGAGACGATTAAGTGCTGGTAAAGTGTGAACAGCATTCTCTGCTCCATGTCCATCGCTGCCATAATCTTTAGTGAGTTTAGACCTTTTTGAGCCCTTGTCACAACCCCCTCTATGTGAAAGACAAACTTCTGTCAAAGGTGATTCCCAGGTACTGCAGTCTCTTTTGATGCCCCTGCCATTTATTGTGAGTCTGGGAATATCAGCTTTAACAATTCTGTTGTCCAAAGAACACTACAGGATGGTTGCCTTTTCTGGGTTGATTACAGCACTCATCTCTTTACACAAGTCAATCACCTTATCTACTGTTTCCTGTAACTCTTCAGCTATTTGATTCCGATCTCTCTCCCTCCTATATACAAGAACATCATCTGCAAATGTCAATATTCTGCCAACTCCAGGTGTTTCCAGGCAGGCAATCTTGCTCGTAAAAACATTGAACAGTACAGGTGAAATTGCAGATCCCTGTTGCAGTCCTGGAGCTATAATATATGGTTCAGAAGTCCATGAACCCAGGCGGAAAGCTACCTGGCGAGTATAAAAAACGGCTGCAATCCAATTCACCAATCAAGGACAGACTCCCTTCTCCATAAGCACTTTCATCAAGATACTGTATCTAACTCTGTTGTAAGCGTCTTCTAAATCGAGTGCCGCTGCCACCGTTTCCTGTCTGTTCTGAAAACCTTCAAAGTTATCAAAGGCAAAAATAAAGCTTCAAAGTGCATAGAATACCATGTGTCATTATCATGTGCTGTGCCAGTAAGCGAAGGCTGTCGTATTTTGCCATCTCACAGTCACGTGAATGACAAATCAGGTCAGTGTTGTAGTCTCACCCCTTCCATCATGTAGCAGGTCCTTTGCAGAACGTTGCTCTTATCATGGTCTGCCTCAAAGAAACTAGGTCTCTCGTCAGTTCTCCCACCTCGTTTCTACTTTCACATTCAAGAAGTCGCTTATATCCTGTGCCCGACTGGTCAGCCCCTGCCCCTCTTTTCTGGTACTAAGCCTTCTGCTTTTTTTCCCCAATCCCCCATGGCACTAAATGAGACGCAAATATTTCAGCTCCTGAGGCAAGACACTGTTTATTTATTAGCAGATCTTTTAAAATGTCAGTATTTCTCCTCTTCTTGATATTCTGAAAACCTTACCATGTATGTAAAAAAGCAAATAAAAAAGGGCCCTTGAAAAGCACTTCGGACACACAAGGCCAGACATATTTTTGTTGACCAGTCGGTCTCTAGATGGGTGATGTGGTCAACATCACGCCAGATACCATATACGGGAGCCCTTCTTAATGTGTGGCGAGTTGCTTATTGTGAGATGGCGAAAAATAAATTGAACGCTAATCGGCATGGCACATGATGATGACCAATGCTCGGTACTGATGAGTTAGGAGCTTAATATACAGCAGTAAAATATTCAACTGGAAATTCCATTAGTAAATTAGCCTTGTAAAAGAAAATAATTTATATACATTTGTATGTCATGACTGATTGACACCTTTCCATTTATCCAGATGATAGTTTTATATTGTGCTATGTGGAGGCATGGGACTCATAGCCTGTGTCGACGGCAAGTGTTAGTTGGGTTATACCCACGTCTACAGATGCTCAGATCCTCCCCTCAGTATGAACTCCAGCATCTGGTTAATAGTACCAGTGCTATGTTGATTAACAAGTCTTTTGATGTGCCTGGTGTGTGTCTCATTTTTTGCTATACTGATCTTAACTCCCAAGTCTATCGCTCTGGCAAGTGATGTGGATTCACTGCCCCAAAGTCCTCCACCCTTCCCATGACACACATTTGTATGTTATTTTGTAACACCATTATCCAGAGTTGTTTGTCTGTTTGCTTCTTCATCTGAAAGGTGCAAAACTTTATAATGTGTGCAATATTTTCTTATGATTTTTTTTTAAATTAAAGAATATACTATACTATATGAACTGTATAGTTAACATTGTATTTATTTGTGTCTGCTACAGTAGCCTTTTTCCCAAACATGTGCCAAACTGTGTTTGTTTTGCATCTTCTCATTTTATAAGAAACTGGGTTAAGCAGCTTCATTTTTCCTTTGCCCATTCTCCCATTCTGTGTCCCTTTATGTAAAACACTGATTGCGATGTTTACACTGTAAGCAGCATTTGTTGTTATTTTATTGGTGTCTTGTGTTGCTTGTTATCCCAGGGGAGGGGGATTTCAGAAAGTAATGCAACTCATTTTTTCCTTACAAACTACTTGTGTAAAAATAAGGGAATTTGTTCACAATATAACACATTATGTCCACCACAAATCCTAATTTTATATAGTGCAGACCTGATAATAAATGGTTCTTCTTATCAGAAATTTCTCTTATCCAAATAAGAGTTCACGCAAGAAAAATTGCTGGGAATAAATGAATGGTTCTTTGCAACACGAATTTGCCACATCCGAGATGACCTTAAGCCGTCTGCACTGCATTATCCCCCCACTTCAATGGGCTTACGGTGGCGTAAATCAAGAGCATACATACCTTGCCTGTATCGGGTCATTTCCTGTTCACACACTCATTTCTTCACAGCATCTTCAGGTCTGTCTACCCACATGCTGAAGCCTGAACTCTCTGAACCCAGGAACCAACAGTGTTCCTATCAACTACACTTCCATACACAGCACAAACTGTTTATAAATTAACACAACAATTTATGTTTCCAAAAACACTTTAAACCAGTACCATATCCACCTACAGCAGGTTTTTTTTCTGGTGGTGCGTGACGGTACTCAGTACTGCCAGTTGAGAAAAAAATATTTTTTTTAATTTCAAGCACTTCTGTAACACACTTTGTGAGATGTACTAGAACCTTTTAAAGACATTTTATGATGAGTACTAGCACCTTGTTTTTTTTCTAGGAAAAAAAGCTGTGACCTAAAGGCATGAAAATAGTTGTTTACTTAAAGCATAGTTTCACAATCGTGCCACTAAGAGTGGAGTCCTGAAACTATCCAACTATTATCTAAAAATGTAAAATTCGATACTCATGAATGTCTAAGTTAAACACACAACAACAATAGAAGAAATGATTCAAATACCATATTTATTATAAGTATAAAAATGTCTGAGAACCACAATAAATTTCAAGGCATTTTATAATATGACAATCGGGGAGCTGCCTGGTCTCAAGGTATGGCATCCGCCTCGAGTGCTGGAGGTCCCAGTTTCAAGCCCTGATGAAAGCTGGGATTTTTTTTAACATTGACTTCTAGTAGTTTCTCCTGGTCTCTGGGTAGTAAGATCGGACACCTGTGTGTATTGTGGCATCCAAAAAAATCCATTGGCAGTTGGATATAAAAAAAAAGAGTAGCTTAACAGTGCAAATTTTGTAGTTGAAAATCTACGCAAAATATTTCAGGATCCTCCCCAGTGCAACAGAGTTTGTGCACTGCGCTGAGAGACTTCTAACTCAGACTTAAGTTAGAAGTATAATGGAGCACTTAAGGGTTAGACCCATGTGCCATGATCTTGATCCGTCAACTACACTAGACTAATATGACAATGGAACATTCATTCTGGCATTAAATTCAGAATGTCACATTGTTGAGGGTTAATCTCAATGAGGTGTCGTCTCCACTGAGAACACTGTCTGCAATGGATCTCCAACACTGCTGGCTTCTCACCCTTGCTGTAAACTCTGAAACTGCTATATATATCCTGATGTTATCTTCATTTCGGCCGTTCAAGGAATTTCGTCTGTCTTCTGAAAAAACACATCTCTGTGGCCTCAAGGGATTTTTGTGCTTGTTTAATCAAGAAATACTTTGTCCAGAAAGTCCAGCCTTGTCAAAACTGGCTGAACTACCGTGTCAACCAAATACAATGACAAAATATCTTTTCATGAATATTATTTGTTTGATCTACACGCTTCAAGATTTCATTCAATTTTTATCTTAGTCCTGACTTCACAAACCCATTCCCTAAGATACAATTAATTCTGTGTTGCATATTACAAGTTTAGTGCAAAGACTGGACAGATTGAGGGGAGAGAAGAATGGCGAATCAACTCAACAGGTCAAACACCACTCACAGACTATAAGAATAATTCTGCTTCTTCTATTTCTATCTCCCAATGGAGCGTAGGCCCTCAATGAACACATGCTGTCACCCTATTCTTTTCTATTGCATGCAGCTCATTTCATGTCCTCCTCATCTTTATAACTTCATTCTCTAGGTCCCTTCTCCATCTTTTTTTCTCCCAAACATGGGAAATCCACAGGTCATGGGACAATCTAATATTTCTGGGGGTGGTAGATAGGCTGCATGCAGTTGTGGGACCTAGGCTGCACTCTCTCGCAGGACGTAGGTGGGTTGGTGTTAGGGCCAGTTCTAAATGTTTTGGGGTTGTTAACAGCATCAGAAAGCCGGGAAACCCAATCTTACCACCCTATAAAATGTTGGACTGTCTTGTGTCATCTGGGGTAGGATGTTAATAAAGAACCCAAGATGTTAACAAAGTCCTTTGGGATCAAGTGAAGTGTGTGGAGGCACAAACAGATTATCAGAGTGTGATGAGAATACAGCAGCCGGGACTGACCAAGGGATCTAGCGGATGCTAAACAATCAGCGAAAAGGCAAGACAGATATAGTCAGACTGCTGCTGGTACCACTGGAATATGGGAATGTCCTGTGCGCTATTTTATTGACTCTTAACTCTACAAAACTCATTTTCACTGTTGTTATTAATACTGCTATTACAATAATTACTGTGAAGCATTTGAATTAAATTCACCTTGAAATTCATAAACAAAATTCAGTTTTTTTTAAAAATATGCAACATTTTCTTTTATGAAATGAGAAATCTGTGGATATTTCTTCATAACAGCATCATATTTTTTTTTATAATTTACTCGCCATTTTCTGGACCATCTCCTGCTTCATTGGCACTCGGCATCTCAGATTCTTCTGGCTGATTCTCCTGCCCTTCTGTCTGCTGAGAGTTTTGTAACTCGGCCATTTCTGCACGACGCCTTTTTTTAAACTCAATCTTTCTCTTTCGCTCCAACTGATCATCCAGGGTTGAATTATCACTAAACTCATCCTCGCTGTCCTCCTTTTCTTCCGCAAGATCCAGCCCCATTCTGATAGTCCACGTGTTGTACCCTGCCAGACGCTGGTAATCTTTGGCTATCCCAAAACAGAAGAGTGGGGCCACTATGTCTAAGAGAACAGCGTAGTCCTGATACTTCAGGCACTGAACACAATACGGATTCACGGCCCAAACACAGTTTCGTACCACAAATTTGGCCTCTTGCTGGGTTAAGTGGTCCGCTTCACTATTCCCCCGATACAACAAAGAGAATCTATAAGGCTGATCATCCACCCCCAAAATCTTTTCAATGAGCGGTATAATTGCTTTTTCTATAGCCTTTGGGCGGGCCTCACAAACAGCTTGTACCGGCATTATTCGAAATGGGAACTTCGTTTTAGGAAGATGTTTGGAATCTGCGAGCTGGGTCATTATGTAGTGAGCATAATCTGCAGGATCTGCTAAATTGGTAGCAATGAAACAGAAAGTAGTGAACATTAATTCCCTGTGGACAAACTGAATGCCAGTTCGGTTTCCTCCACTGTTTGTGTGTACGCTGCCCCCTTCAGACCCTTCTTCAACTGGGGCTTCACCCTCAGGGCACTGAAAAAAAAAAATCAAATGATGTCAGTTACCAGTCACAGGCCTCTTTCCACAAAACTAGACAACAGCTTATTAAGTTACCAGTCATACACCTCTTTCCATCAAACATGACACCAGCTGATTAAGTTACCATTCACACACATCTTTCCATCAAACTACACGTCTGCTTAATGCTCTAGGTTCAGCCCTTTGGATGTTTATAAAAACTGTCCAAGACTCCATATTTCTTCTGCTTCTTCTTCACTTTCTCTAGCTTCATAAGGTTGAGTTTAAGGGAATTATGAAGTCATAATCAGGTTATATGCCGTAACAATGACATCACATCATAATCAAGTTATATGCTGTAACAATGACATCACATCATAATCAAGTTATATGCCATAACAATGACATCACATCATACTCAGGTTATATGCCATAACAATGACATCACATCATAATCAGGTTATATACTTCTTCTTCTTCTTTCGTTCGCATGAAATAAATTGTCTATATCTGCAAAGCCGTCTCTTGTATGAATTTCACTGTCTTTTGTAATTCACTAAGCGGCCCGTAAAGTTTGACTTCCACAAGTGTCTCTTTTGGCCAAATGTTTTGCCTGAAAGCGTTGAATATGGGACAGCCTTGAAGGATGTGATCTGTTGTTTCAGGTGCCAGTCCACAAGTACACATGGCCGATTGGCCAATCTTAAGTTTGTTGTACATGTGGGAGCGAAGTCTATTGTGCCCTGTTCTAAGGCGAAGGTTATATACCATAACAATGATATCACATCATAATCAGGTTATATGCCATAACAATGACATCACATCATAATCAGGTTATATGCCATAACAATGACATCACATCATACTCAGGTTATATGCCATAACAATGACATCACATCATTTTCAGGTTATATGCCATAACGATTTTTTTACAAAGCTTCAGTCTCTCTCCTAGAGTGGCTAGCCTGCATGCCTATCAAGGCAGTCGTCCAGGCTCAAACAGGAAAGACAGGCTTTAACCCACAACCAGTATGTCTCGGAGGTCAAAACAGCCTCCTAAAAACAGATATAAGATAATTTATAGAATTTTCTGGGAAATGTCCTGGAAGAAACAGCAATGAGTAAAGAAACTGGCCACCTTATCTCATATGTCATGGCAGACAGACCCGCACAGTGGGCAGCAACCAAAGGATCCAGCTGACACCCAACACTCAGAAGAAAGGCAAAACCCACAAGCAAACTGTGACTGGCACTACAGGACTTGAAACTCTGCGCTGGCTGATTAAGTCGGGGAATAAGAACTTATGGAAATTAAACTGCATCAATATGGGAAGCACATTTGTTTTTTAAAGCCCCACCCCAGCTGTAGTTAGGAGCCCTACTGTCTAATTGTTGAACAGGGTTTTGGGGACTTGTGCCCGGGGTGATTCTCATCCAAATGGTGGCACTTTGTGTCACCAGGTGTTTATCGCTAGTTGTGCGGTCCTGGTAAGGTTGAATGTCACTCGCTTATAGGAATGTCCTGAGTGCTGCAATGCCGGTTCTTAACTAACAGATGAAGACCACAGATTGATTGTGAAGACCACAGATTGATTGTGAAGACCACAGATTGATTAGACAATTCAGATGAGACACAAACAGAAATGAACTTTAAATTTAGTGACAACTGGCAAATCTGATGAGAAACATGTCTGCAGAACATAAAGAGCTAGATACCTGGATGGTCTGCTTGCATGACATAATTGGGACAACAACAACAGTCCTGACTGGAGGCTCTGGTGATCATGTCAGTTGGTGAACCATGGCTGCCCAATCCTACTGACATGGCACACCATGATGATGCGCATATGACATTTCCAACAATCACCACTAAAACCATTCTCAAAAATCTAGTTTAGAAAGTCAGTTTTCAGGACATGGCAAACATATTCCGGCATTTCTTGATTTGTTTGGTTTTACTAAACATACATCTGACAGTCTGCCACTGCTTTCTGAATAGTATGTCTGAAAACAGATTCTAGCATATAACATCACAACATTCAGTATGAGAATGGAGGTGGAGACAGTAGCAGCAACTCTCCAAAGGCTGGAGAGCAGCACAACCCAACATGTGGTAACTGTAATGGACTCACAGAGCATGCTTCGGGAAAATAAAAACTGGCGTCCTACACATAGAATGGCTTGCACTCCTAGATAAGACTCAGATCAGAAACATATGGATTTTCTGTCCAGGATATTTGGGTGTTCGGGGCAATGAGCAGGCTGATAGACTGTTTGCTGCTTTATGATGTGGTGAAGGCTCTCAGGTATTTAGTGGACAGTGCTGCAGAATAGGCCGAGCATCCATACATTGATAGACTAATCAAGAGGATGGTGAGCAGGGGATCTGGAAGATATTCAAAACTGAAGGGAAAAAAGGCAAACTTTCAATCAGGCTGCAACTGGTACAATTAGGATATTGACTCTTTGTTGGCTACTGAAGAAGGAGACAGAGCACAAGTGGGAATGAGCTGAGTGTAAGGATGTCAATCCTTGATTCATTCATTTATAGTGTGATACAGTTGTCAAAGTCAATGCAAAATAATTTGGTACCAAACTGCCTGCAACTGACTTTGAGTCGGGTCAGGCCATTTAAGATGCAGACTACAACATTCACAAACCTTTTCTGCGTAATATGCCTGGGCAAAGCTTTTCAACATTTTGAGAGCTTCAACAGATGCATGCTTGTTCCAGCGAATCTTGGACAAGCTCATAATGAAACCTCTATCTCCTGGAGAGAGGATTTTCTTTCCACCCTCCATGCTGACAAGTTCTAGTGGCATTTTGCTGTGATACTATATGACAGAATAAAAGTACATTTTATTATAACCAATGTTTTTTAAATTCTGCTTACTAGCTTAAAAGCTAAACTGGTCATAATTTTCTTCAACAAGGCTGGGAAATTTAAGCTCTCCTTTAAACTACGGCCGGTTAGAGGGCCAGTTAGTCCCTTGGCTGCAGTGCAATTACGGAGTGGAATAGAGGGAACGAAACAAATGACATAATTACTGTGTGTTGGCGATAGACAGCGTGCAGTGCCCTGCTGTCATCATACGGCTAGGGTTTGGGTTACGGTGAGGTTTAGGGGTATGGTTTGGGCTAGGGTTAGTGCCATGTCGACGGCACTTTGTTATGTGATTAGTGCCTTCTCCACTCTGTAATTGCACTGTAGCCAGGGGACTGAACTCTGACTAACCGGCCGTAGTTTAAAGGAGAACCGAAATTTCTTGACCAATGGCTAAACTGACATTGGTCTTTCTTCACTTCAGTAACACTTACTGGATTCATGTACAATGCAAAAATTTAAATATTGCTGAAATATTTCTCCCCCCCCCCCCCCCCCCCCCCAAAAAAAAAAAAAACAGCTTGCTCCACAAGGGTCGTTGAGTGAATGCTGAATTAAGAATCGATACAATTGCTAGCGACTACGGTGTTCGGAAATTTGCGGTCTTTTTGGCAATTTCCATGGAAACTAAGCATTGGCAGCCCTGATGTCGACCTCACTGTCGTGTTTGAGTCGTGACTTTTTCCGCTCGTTGTTGTGAGTGCGGCCAAGTGAAAGAACTCCCACTACGCCGACCGGAGCCGACCTACTTGCCGGCAAAATCTGCTAGGAGAGCCAACAACAGTACTAAATGTTTATGAACAGGCATATTTCGGCAGCCCTGAGCGCAAAACTCGGGTGAACGCGTTGCAAATGTCTGGACATTAGCCATAGATGGTTTTCATACCAGACTCTTTCTACCACCGGCAGCTAGGGCTGCTACCGGTGTACCACTGTACCGTCTTACTGAGGGTACCGGTACACCGACCGACGACGGTCCGCTAACCTGGCATTAAATTTAAATGTGAAGCATGCTGTATTTACCTAATATGTCAACTGTGGGCTAAACAAACACATATATTATGTGTATTTTCAATGCTATAATATCTGCTTTCCAAACACAAGCAAGTTTTTACCTTTACCTTTTACTTCTGACTCAATATACTTTTGTGAAACAGAAACGCTTTGGTTGACTCCGGAAATGAACACAGTGCTTCCCCATTTCATGCGCAGAAGATCATTTTGCAGTACTTGGGAAAGTTAGCAATTAGCTCTGTATATTTCGGTCCAAACAAGGTAGCTGATACACGCAATGCTTACATTTATCAATATTTTGATTAGTGAGGTTTATTCCGTGTCTATGACCACATAATTGGAAACCACCAACTAGACGGCCTTGGTTTGATACTGACTACGAGAAGCGGCTGGCAGCACATCGAGCTCTCGTGCTAGAGAGCTGGGTTCGAGTTCTCAGTAAGGTTGGGGATTTTTTTAGTCGGGGCATAAATAAAATCCTAACCTACAGTACTAGCCAGGTGGCTTTAAATGTAAGGTTGCCTGGCTCTCTAGCGTAGTTTGCTAAACTGGATTGCCCGGTGACCGGGTGACGAACTCCTTGTGGTCCGGGTTCACTCCCGGGGGGTAGGCAGAAAAGCCACATTTCTCCCAGATTTACGGTATTTACAATGGAATCAAGGCCGAAAGGTTGCGATATCCATAATACCGAGCCTAAGGGTTAACAACTCATGGCTTCTGGATACTAAAACAAATGTAAGGTTCAAAAGCTATCCTGCCTACATGGCACAAATGGTAAATACGAGCAGTTTGGGCAAAAATTATTTATAAGATATATAACAATATCTTATCTTATTCTGATCATGTTCTGTATGCTGCTACTGCTACCGCTTCCGTGCTACTGTACCACTATTACTTATGCTCCCGCTGCTACTACTAATCCATTGTCATCACTGGTGACGTCATACTACCATAAATCCAATATTGGTAACAAAATCGCAACAGGGATCACATTCATCATCCCTGAGCCGAAGACAGAAAAGCAAGTGCGCAAGTACCTTGTTGACATTATGATTTCCTTAAAACGCTTCAATAGTATTCAGCGCAAGGTCAAAACATATTGAAGTACACTAGAGGTCACTTGTCGCCTTCATGTCGCTTGTTATTATAGCTGATCTTCTGATTTGTAGTGCATGTGATAGTATTTCACGCTGCTGCATTCAAATGAAATAGTTTGTTCAGTGAGGTTTTTCCAGTGTCTATGACCACATGATTGGAAACCTTCTTTTTCTTCTTCTTCTCTTCCACCTTATACCTCATCGAAGTGTGGGGGGGGGGGGGGGGGGAGATGTAATGTTCGTTGATGAGCTCTGTCAAGAGCACTATTAAGTCTGATGTTCATTTCTGTAAGGCTGTTCTTAATGCCATCACTCCATATTTTCCGAGGTCTTCCACTCGCTCTATACCCGTTGTAACGTTTTAGTGTGGCTCGCTGTGGCGGATAGTACCAGGGCATTCTTGTTAGGTGTCCAAACCACTTCATTTGTTGTTCTTTGATGACCTGTAAGACTGGCTTTATTCCTAGCATTCGTCTGATTTCATGATTTCGTATTCTGTCTTTCCTTAAGGTATTTCATCTCTGTTGTTACAATTTTATGTTCATTGGAGGATGTAAGTGTCCATGTTTGGAATTGATAGTATAGTGATTGGAAACCACCAAGAATGAACTGTTAGGTCAAGCTTTAGAAAACAAAAGCTACCCACAGGTGAGCTCATTACCTTGGATGGATTCTTTCTAAGAGTTGAGGTTCCCAAACTAAGTTAACAGACCACTCCTATCTTAGATCAAAATTACTTAGTGCCCATCTAGAAATGTAACTTCTTTAACTCTTTCATCACTGTTTATATCTCATTCTATTTGAAAGAGTGGTGTTCATCATCGTGTTGTCTCATCTTGATCCTCTGGTACTTTGCCACGTTCAAGTGAAGTATAATTTACAGGAAAGTGCCAGTTGGTGTGCTGCGTAAATAAGGAGTCCTAGGGACTCTCCTATTCCATCGATTGTATGATCGGCCTCTTCTTTGCTTCCTGCCTAATCTGTGTACGTCATTGCTTGATGTGGTATACTATTTGTTGGCATCGGTGTTTTATGATCAAACCATTTCACTTGTTTTTGTCCCTGTGTGGGTTCCAGGACCCCATTGTGGGGAAAACAAGACTATAGACCCACTGCTTCCTCAACAAACATGTCGTAGAGCAGCAAGGAATAACCAACTGCACACAAATAAGCCACTAAAACGGACGTACACGCAAAACTCAGGCCCTGACACAAAGCTAAAGACCATATGGAAGTACAACCAGGACTTTCAGCTGGAGCTTACGGCCAGTAAACAAAGAAAAAACTTGCTTTCAAATAAAATCCAGAGCTCTAGCTGCCCCATTTTCATCCTTTCTGATCTGATCCTTTCTTGATATATTAAAAGCTTTCACAAGAATCTCATTTTAATTGTAATTGTTCATTTCTCTGTCAATGTCCAGGTCTGTCATTGACAGCACAAGAGTGGTGACTTGAAAATAATAATTGCTGTGAATAAACGCATTCAGCTAATAACCCCTTTGTACATTCATTCACTTTCCTGTTGTACAATGATCTGTGATACAGGGCTCGCATATTATTTCTCTATTTCGTTCTATCCTGTGCAACCATTTCATTATTATCTACTTCTTCGTTGCTTTCACCGCCTGTAAACTCAAATGTCAATTTCTGGGTATTTGTTCACCTCTGGACTTTAGTCTTGTTCCAGAACCTGAGTGTTGCATGCTCATTCCTTTTATGCATCTGACTTATTTGTATGCAGACTGTTGGTTCCTTGCCTTTCAGGCAGATGTACTCCAACTACAAAGGAAGCTCCCAACTCTTATGACATGCTTGTTGTGGAGGCAGTGGGTTTATTCTTGTTTTCCCTACAAGGGGGGTCCAGAACCAACATGGGGAAATTTGATATTATGAATGGAATCCAGTCCAGCACATCTGGTATCTCTCATTAGTGTTCATTTTAGGGTTTCTCTTGCACACCCTTTTTTTCCTCAATCCCTCTATTTCACATTTCAGTGCAAGACAGCCTAGCATACGACATCACAACATCTAGCATGAGAATGGAGATGGAAACGGTAACTGCAGCTCTTTGTTGGCTAGAGAACAAGATGCATACACATGTCACAATTGTAACTGACTCTGAAAGCATGCTGAGAAAGGTGAAGACATGGATGCTTCGAGCAGAGTGGCAAGCTTCACTGGGAAGGTCACGGGTAGTGAGCATACTTTGGATATTTTCTCCAGGCCTTGCCGGCATGGTGGATGATGAACAGGCAGAAAGATTGGCTGGATTTGCACCACTGGGTGGTGAATTGATATATAACAAAGCAGATGTGATCAAGGCCCTTTGGGAACAAGCAACGGAATTAGCAGAGAAACAAGATTATTATGGCCTGGAGAGAATGAGTCACCTGGGTGTAACCAGAGGGTCTGGCCGGCTCACTACACTCAGAGGAAAGGCAAGACTGACATATAACCAGATTGTGACCGGTACTATCAGTATTGGACATATAACCAGATTGTGACCGGTACTATCAGTATTGGACATATAACCAGATTGTGACCGGTACTATCAGTATTGGAACTCTGCACTGGTTGCTGAAGATGAGGAGAGAGCACGCATGGGAATGCCCCGAGTGCTGAGATGTCAATTCTTGACTCAACTTAACTCGACCCCACATGAGGAACTGTGATATTATGAAAGGAATTCAGTCCAGCAAATCTGGTATCTCTCATCGGTGTTCATTTTAGGGTTTCTCTTGGACACCCTTTCTTTCATCAATCCCTCCATTTTCCATTTCAGCACCTGTTTAGTAATTCTCTGTTTGTCTCTTCTCAAAATGTGTCC